CCTGTTAGTCAGGAAGCATTTAGTGAGTATCTAAACACGCGAGGCACTCTGCTCAAAACCATTCACAAGACTGGAAAAGACAAGTTAGCAGGGTGGGAACAGAAGTGTGAGCAGACTACAGTAGGGGTAAGGGGGAGTATCCAGACCACTAGGAGTTGAGACTGTGGCCCCCAGCCATCGGGAAAGGCCAAAGGATATGCAGGAGTTAACAGGAAGGAGGGAGTGCAGGGAGGGAGTGCACGGGCAGACAAAGGGACTCAAATGGCTCTAAGAGGGACTGTGGAGCCTCTTAACCACTTATGCCAGTAAGCATTTAAAGACACCTACTCAGTGCCAGGCACCATGCTGGGAGGAAAGAAGCAGAAGACAGTCTCCAACCCAGAGGAGAGGTACAGAAGTCAATAACCCAGCAAATCCACACAAGGGAGACGGCCACTAGCAGTAAAGCACCTAGAGCTGTAAAGGCACGGAGGCCACTAAGCCAGACTCTAATCCACCCCACCCTTCTCAAGGACAGGATACCCACTGAGGCTGGGCAGCCCAGTCACTTGCCCAGGGCACAGCCCGGACCAGAAGTCAGGCCTCAGGACTCCCTGTCACTGATTCTTCTAGTCCCACCTCTTCCAGGAAACACACACTGCACACTCCCAACATATTCACCCTGAGCTAATGCCTCCTTCCTCTGTAATATTTCTATTATTACGCTGGCCATTGTATCAATGTTTTCCTGCCTGCCTCTCCTCCCAGACTGCAGCTCAGAGGAGGCCAGGGACCATGTTCTCTAGCATCATTTCTGGTCCAGGCCAGGCACTGACTAAGGAATAGCTGGCTGGCTGGCTGGCTGGATGAATCAAGGGATAGAGACATGGTGTACTGGGCTCTAGGGCCACCCGACTTCTCATGAGGTCTTAGACCATTAACCTGTGCTTCAGCGTCCCCATGTGAAAATGTGGAATCACCGCCACTCTCAGGAGAGGCAGTCAGGAGCCAGGCCAATCCCTTCCCTCCAGGTCCTACAGGTGAGGTCCAGGCCAAGCCAGATAGCAACCCAAGGCCCAGCCACTTCCCCACGTTCTGACCTACTGGGGCAGTCCTCAGGACCCTCTCCTGTCCAGAAAGGCCACTCAAAATTTGCAGAGGAAACTGCTTCCTAGTGGGTATGCCCAAGGGACGGAGCACAAAAGCATATGGTTGAGTTTGGGGAAGGAGGGAGACTGGGGGCAAGAGTCACAAACATTTCTTGGGCCCCTGCTCTGTGCCCTGGACGGCAGAGAGATATTAGACTCTACCCCAAAGCACCACTAAGACCGGGAAGACAGGGAGGCAGAGGCCCTTAATTCATGCCCCAGCATCTCTCCAGTCCTCCAGAACAAGTCATTGCCTTCCCTCGAGAGCCAGAGAAAGACTTGACCTTCACGAAGGCAATGCTCAGTGTGACTGAGCTATGGGCACTGCCCAGTCCCTCTGAACAAACTCCCACCTCCCCACCCCCTCCACAGGAAGTATCGCCAATAGCAGACCTCCTCCTCCTCCTCCTGCCTCCAGTCCATCTGACTGCTGGTCTCTCTGTTCAGAGGGGTTAAATAAACTCCTAACGGAAAAGGTGGGAGAGATCCATGGAAGCCTTTCGGCTGCACCGAATCCCTCCTCCACAATCTAGGCCCAAATTCCCTTTCCCTCCCCAAGCTCTCTCCCTCCTCATCCTCACACCTCATTCTCAAAAGTCTTCCTGGAGTAGAACTGGGGAAGAAGCATCAGAGGAGTGTGATCAGCCCCACCCTTCCAGCCAAGTCCTGATCAGAAGGCTGTTGGACACCACCCCCCCCCCAACCATCTCTCCTCCTTCCCAAAAAAGGCAGTAGTTGCATCAGCTGAGAACCAGCCGAATCTTGGTTCACTACAGTCCAGACCAAGGGGAAGAAGCAGTCAATGAAAGAAGCAGAATCATCATGAACCCCAACCACCTCGGCCATGCTCCTTCAGCCTGGTAACCAACTTTGCTGGATCTCCAGCCTGGACCGCATCAGATCTGGTTCTCAGGCCCATATGGATGCACAGGACGTGGGCAGGGCCTGGAGTCTCGGACCCTGAACCATTCTTCCTAGGAACCCCTGTTCACACGGGGGGCCCAAGATCTTGGCCAGGGATCCTGCCCCCCAAGTCAGGGCACTATTCCCGCCTGATCAAAAGGAGGGAGGGGTCCCGAGGCCAGGAGCCCAGGAGAAGAGAACAGGGGAAACCTCTGAAAACGAAATGAAAGCTGCCAAGGAGAAAGCTCAGAGGTGGAACGTCTAGCAAAGGGGGAGTGTGTGCGTGTAGGGGTTAGGATCTGAGGGAAACCCAGGGGATGACAAGGGGACCTGGGGGAGCCCAGGCGGAAACTCCCGGTCTGTAGAGCACAGGGAGGCACTGGGGTGCCTGGGAGGGGGCTCGCGCGCCCCGGCACCGGGGAGAGGGTGGGGTCCCGGAGACCTGGACTACCCGGGAGCCTGGAGGTGGGCCAAATTGAGCCGTGGCGGGGGCCCCCAGGGAGCCAGCCCGGGCGGGCAGAGCCCAAGCTGCCCGGGGCGCCGGGGCCGGGCAGCTGGTTGGGGGCGGGTAGGAGTGGGTTTCTAAAGGTGACAGTTCGCGCCCCTTCCCCGCCCCACCTACTCACCTTGTCCCGTCGGGTCCGGCTGCCCAGCAGGCAGCCCCGCGCCCTGGCCGCTCCGTCCCGCCGCCGGCCGCTGCGCCCCTCCGGCGCCTCCTTTTGTTTGTCCCTCACTGCACCACTCAACCTCCTCCGCCCCGGAAGTGACGTCACCGCCGGCTCGAGCGCGGCAGCTAAGGCGTCGCCATTTTTTTGACGGGAGTTCTTTCCGTGCCTTCACACCCTCGGCTCCCTACTGGCGCCATGTTGGTTTGGGGCGGAAGTAGCGGAACCCGGGCTCGGCCCCCTTAAAGGGACAGGAACTGCTGTAACCTTCGGGGCTTGCCGGGGGACGAGCGGTGAAGCCGCCGAGGCCGGGGTGAGTATCCGGTGCCTGCGCGTTGCTGCTGCTCCGATGCCGGGTGCCGAGGCCGGACGACCTGTTAACCGGTTCCGAGATCGTTTGTGCCAGAAAACTCGCTGCGTTTGGTACTGCTGGTACGGCGGAGTGGCTGCGCCGAAATCTTAACCCAACCTGGAGCTGCCCGGGGGGATAAATTGCACGCGCTGGACGCTGACCCGCACTTGGACGCTGGGAACCCGCCAGGCGGGTCCTCTGCACCCATATCCTTCACCCCCCACCCCGCGCGATAGTACCTGTGGGGAGCATGGAGCCCCGGGTAACTCGGTCATTTATAGGCAGAGCCGGGATACAGCTCTGTGGAGCCCGAGTCCTCGCAGTTCCCACACTGATGATAGTAACAGCAACCACATTAAGAAATAATCCATACAGTGGAATGCTGTGCAGCCACTAAAACGAAAAATGTTCAATATGCACTAACGAGTTCCAAGATACCTTAGATTTAAAAAAAAAAAAACAGGAAAGGGCAAAAGAACAGCGTAGATCGGCGCTACAGTTTGTGTAAAAGAACGTGTGTAAGGAGTGTGCGTGTCTGCGGGTGTGTGCAGCAGGCGTCTGGTAAGATGCACAAGAAGTTTTTAACTGTGGTGGCCTCGGACAGAGCTGGAGTCCTGGGTAAGGGTTAGGGAGAATTTACCAGCATGTGCACAGGCTAGTTATTTTTTGAGTAAGATGATGTGTAAGATAAGAACTGCTGGCATCCATCAAGTGTGGAGCCAGTGCCTGGTTTCAGCCCTCCTGCTGGAAGGTCTGATTTTTCCCTTGTCGTGAGAGGAGGAAATAGGCTCAGAGATTAGGGACTTTAGTAATATCTCACGGCCAGCAAGAGGAGAAGCTGGAATTTGAGCCCTGGAGGGTTTTACCCTTAATGCCAATGGTCTCCAGGCCCCACTTCTTAGCGGGAAGCTTTTTTGTTATTAACCACACAACAGCCAGTGTGGAGTCTGGCACACCGTAAGTATCCAGTAACTGTTGATTGGCTATTTACTGGCTGAGCAGGTAGAACAAGAATAGAACGGAGAGAAGAAACACTGGGGGCCAGAGCCCAGACTGGAGTCCAAGGCTTGCCCCCATCCATCTTGGGGGCTGTGAACCTGGCATATCCCTCCCTGAGCCTCCATGTCCCCATCTATAGAGCTAACAGTCATGACCACCACCCCTGCCACCGGTGCTCCCACCTGTCCTACCCTGTGCATTACACGCAGATCCGTCCCATTTTACAGATCAGTAAGTGAAGCATAGAGAAATTAAGGAAGTTGCCCAAAGAGGGTCCCCACAAGGCCTGACTCCCCCACTTCACTGAGAGAGGTTGCGGGGCTCCTGGGTCTCTCCCTCAGCCTCTAGGCACTAATGCTTTGGGAGACCTACGCTTCTGGTTGAGCTGCCAGAGACTGAGGATCTGGTGGGGAACAGGACACACGGTTCCTGTCCCTGGAGTCTAGTGAGGGTGACGGACAACCCAGCAGTTAACGTCCCTGATGAGCTCTGTGGTGGATGGAAGCTCAGGTCGTAGTTGTACAGTGGCAGGGGCATCTGGCTCCGTCCGTCCGGGTGGAGTCAGAGAGGGCGTCTCAAAGTAGGTAACTTTTAATCTGTGTCTGAAAGATGGGCAGGGTGTCCGGAAGGACAAACGATGAGACTAGAGACCCAAGCAGAGCGGTGACCCACGTGATCAGAGACCGCGCAGGTTGGAAATGTTCAGTCTGGCTTCTGCACGAATCACTCCTTGCTCCTGGAGAATGCCTTCTCAGGACCACATCTGTGGCTTTTCCACCCTCCACTCCACACTTCACCTTTGGTGCAGCTCCAAACAGGAGGACGCCCTGATTTTATAATCCAGGTGGGGGCGACAAAGGAACAGGGGAGAGCTCATAGAAAGGAGGAAGTTGTTTACGGACACACCCACCTCCCACACAGACCCCACCCCCACCCCATCCCCCAAATTCCTCCGGCCTCCAGATTGGCGGCCAATTTGCTGTAAGCAGAAACTCTGCCCTGGTGAGTAAAGGCGTCAGCACTGGGAGCTCCCGTCTTCAGGCTGCTTAAGCCCGCTTGGTTTCTCAGGTTGAGTGCTGGCCATGACCCCTCCTCTTCCCCCCGGTTCTGTATAGTTCTGTAGCCAGCTGGGCAAAGTCACACCAGCTGCGGTGGGAGAGGTACTCCTGCCCCAGCCGACGTGGGGCCACATCCCACTGCCAGATCCTTGAAACAACTACCAGATGGTCATTCTGCTTCCTCATTCCTGGACAGCAGTGTAAGATCTGGATTTACAGCTGGGGTCCTTCTGTGATTTTCTAGGACTCTGACTTTGGGTAAGTCATTTCCCTGCTCTGAGCCTTAGTTTCTCCATCTGTAGAACTGGTATGACTGTTTCTAATGTTCTTGCCGGGCATTAAATATATAAACATAGAGGGGCACCTTGCTGGCTGAGTCGGTAGAGCATGGGAGTCTTAGTCTCAGGATTGTGAGTCTGAGTCCCATGTTGGAGTACTCAAAAAAAAAAAAAAA